TTTTTTTTTTTTAAGATTTTATTTATTTGAGAGACAAAGAGATAGCAAGAGAGAGCAGGAGTAGAGGGAAAAGCAGGCTCCCCACTGAGCAGAGACCCCACACTCACCCCCATCCCCAGTCCCACTCCCACCCCCCCGATGCAGGACTCAATCCCAGGACACTGAGATCTTGACCTGAGCCGCTGAACCATCTGAGCCACCCAGGCGCCCCCAGAGCTTACGTTCTTCTGGAGGAGATGCCCTCGAAGCCAATAAAACAGAGGGCGGGCTTGCTTTTGCCTGGATGATTAAGTGCTACAGGACATGGAAGGAGAAAGAGAGCCCTGTGGACCAGCACCATCCAAGAAAGGCTATAGAGGAAGTAGAATTGGGGCAAGCCTTGAAAAGATTACAGTTAAAGGTCATGTGGTGACGTTTGCTGAAATTCCAGGCCTGCAGAACATTCTAGAAAACAAGGGCACAGGTGAGAGTGATGAAGTCACATGAGCACTGTGAAGCCGTAGAGGGTAGGAACAGTTGATGATTAGAGCTCCCACAGGTGAGGGGAAGCAGTGCATTCATTATGAAGGACCCTTCATGACCACTTCAGGGTTTGACCCTACATGGGAGAACTTTAAGAAGTCCACAACTAAGCCCTGGTGAGGAGGAGCAGTGCCTCAGGTGGGCAGACTCTCAGGGGCAGTGTGAATTTACCGAGTTGTTAGCAATGTTCTGTATCTTTTTTAATTTTAAGATTTTATTTATTTATTAGAGACAGAGAGGCAGAGACACAGGCAGAGGGAGAAATAGGCTCCCTGAGGGGAGCCCAATGTGGGACTCTATCCCAGGGCTCCAGGATCACGCCCTGAGCTGAAGGCAGGCACTTAACTGCTGAGCCACCCAGGTGTCCCAAATGTTCTGTATCTTAATGAAGAAGGTGGTTACATAGGTATATGCATTTCCAAAACTCATCAATTCCACAGTTGTGCATTTTCTTGTATATAAATTATACCTCAAACTTATAAATATCTTGTGAAAGCTGTATTTAAAATTTAAAAAGAGGGTTGCATAGGCAGCTTAGTCGGTTAAGTAAGCATCTGCCTTCCACTCAGGTCATGATCTCAGGGGTCCTGGGATCGAGCCCCACATCGGGCTCCCTGCTCAGCGAGGAGTCTGCTTCTCCCTCTCCCTCTGCCTCTCTCCCTGCTTATGCTCTCTCAAGCTCACTCTTTCTCAAATAAATAAAATATTTTTAAAAATTTTTAAAAAGGAAAAGAAAAAAGAAATCTATAGATCCAAAAGCTTAAAACCCAGAGCAACCAGTGGAAATCTGTGACAAGGATCCCGATTCCAATATCTGACAAAAGTTTTTCTGAGACCTTGGAGAAATTTGAATACTGACCAAATATGCAGTAATCTTTAAAAAAAAAATTAGGATTTTTTTTTTGCACTATAATTATTTTTTAAGAGCTCTTTGTTTGAGAAATACATGCTAAAATAATTATGGATGGAGCCATTGCCCTCTAGTTCTTGTTCACAGCACTCCCGTGTGAGTGGGTGGAGGCGGCTGGCTGGGGCCAGGGAGAGTGCTGATGGCTGTTGAAGCCCATGATGGGCACGCGGGGATTCGTTATACTGGTGTCTGCTTTTGTATGTCTCTGGTTTCAAAAATAATAAAAAACTGTTGGTGTATTTGCATTTTAAAAGTCCTCGCTGGTTTTTGAATAGGAACGTGCTCAGCAAGAGTGTCTCTCCAGGAAAAGTGTGCTGGTACGTGGGGATTTGTACTGCTGAGCCCTTGGGGAGGTAACTTTGCCACATTGATGAGTGGGGCTGGAGAACGGAGGAACAGAGGCAGATGCTCTGCTTTGTTTACTTTGCTCAGAGTAAGTCATAGGGACTCTCAGAGGTTTGTTTTTGCTGTTGGGGGAGCACATCAGGTCACAGGAGCACTAAATATTATCTGGAGGGCTCCATTCAGTGTTGCAGGTGTGTGCCGAGGGAGGGAGGTGGATTTGTGGGGTCACCTGGGAGGCCCCTTGCCTACAGAGCTGGACAAGGCCACTTGTGCTACTGATTCTCAGACACAGTACCCGCTCACATATTAGGAAATGTGGCTTCTGGTCTAGCTGCGAAGTCAGTGCACTTCTCTGGGGTTCAGAATTCTTAGCTTGGATATATGAATTAAAATTCAGGTGATCTCAGGTTACCTGGGTGGCTTAGTGGTTGAGCATCTGCCTTTGGCTCAGGGTGTGATCCCCGGGTCCTGGGATCAAGTCCCACATCGGGCTCCCCACAGGGAACCTGCTTCTCCCTCTGCCTATATCTCTGCCTCTCCTTCTGTGTTTCTTGTGAATAAATGAATAAAATCTTTTTTAAAAACATGGGTAGCCTGGGTGGCTCGGCGGTTTGGCACCGCCCTCGGCCCGGGTTGTTATCCTGGAGACCTGGGATCGAGTCCCAAGTCAGGCTCCCTGCATGGAGCCTGCTTCCCTCTGCCTGTGTCTCTGCCTCTCTCTTGCTCTGTGTCTCTCATGAATAAATAAATAAAATCTTTAAAAAAAAAACAATTTAGGTGATTTCTAATGTCTTACTATGAACGGTTTTGCCTCCCTCCACATCTTTTTTAAATCAGAGGGTCATTGTTTTTAACTAGTACTTTCCAAAGTGGGCCGCGTGCATCAGAGTCTCTTGTGGACAGGTCGGTGGGGATGTCAGAAACGCCCACCCCTGGGGGCTCATCAGAGATGTACAGAATGGTCTTATGGCAGCAGGTGCTTAGGAATCTGCATTTTAGCAAATATCCCAGACCATTCATAACAGTAGAGTTTGAAGAGAACAGTTGTAGAATCTATGGTGGTTCCTTTTTTCCTAATTGCCTCAAAATACAATCAGTACTTAAATTTCTTTTCTTCTGAGGAGCTAAGCAATTTCAGAGCATTAAAAAAAGAATTATGATCATATTGTTACCATATGACATTGTGGGTAGGTTTAAATTTATTTGTATTAATAACAGATTTATAATGCATACTTTAGGAAATCAACACAAGAAAAAAATTGTAACAATCTAGAATTCTTTAGCCTTAGAAAAGCAGAGTTAAACAGGTTTGCTGTGTGTCCTTCCAGACTTTTTCTAATATATATACATGTAAATAGAATTTCGCCAAAATAGGTTTATTTGCCCCAAGCAATTTAATAACCTGTTTTTAAAACTCACACATTATGCTTTTCTTTCTGTGCTAAAAATGTCCACCTACATCAACATTTTTCTTGGCTGCATAGAATTTATTTATATAAATGTGCCAGAGCTTATTTCACCAGTTTCTTGTTGACATTCTGTGATATCTCCCTCTTTCCACTGTTTTACTCATGGAGACAATGAAAATCCTTTTGTATCTTTTTGTATGTCTTTAAGATAAAATTCCTAGAAGCAAATTGCTAGTCAAAGGATTTTCTTTGTTTTTAAAATGATTTTTTTAAATGATTTTGAACACAGTTATTATTTGCTCTAAAAAAAATGTCAGGACACCTGGTTGGCCCAGTGGTTGAGCATCTGCCTTCGGCTCAGGTCAAGATCCTGGGGTCCTGGGATCAAGTCCCGCACAGGCTCCCCCAGGGAGCCTGCTTCTCCCTCTGCGTATGTCTCTGCCTCTCTCTGTGTGTCTCTCATGAATAAAAAATAAAAAATGTCAAATACAGGGACAAGTTAAAATCTCCATAGCTTCCAGATAACTTTTTTATATTTTTTAATAGGATCACTTATGTAGAATCTTATTACCTGCTTTTCTCATGCCATATATTGTAAAAATCTTTCCGTGTCTGCCACATTGAAAATATCGTGATATTCTTACGACATTAATTATATGCACTTAACTAATCTGATTCTTCTGCTTTAGTCAGGGAACAAGTACTAAGTACCCAAAATACACAAAAGTCTTCTAGTAGATGTGAGAAGAGAAAGTTGATTCGGATGGTTTTGTGCCCTCACAATCCTACAGACAGAAGGGCGTCTCAGGCAGTCCCATGAGTCCTCTAGCACTTTGTCTTCCAGATCCTCTAAGAGGGTCTGAGAGCTGGCCTGGGAGAGGCAGGGGAAGGAAAGCCATTTTTAGTTAGGTTGGGGAAGGCTCAGAAGAGAGGGTGATGGAGGGCTTGACCCCACGAAGGTGGGGAGCAAGAAGTGTTCCCAGTAGAGCAGCAAACGCCGAGATGTGCTGTCAGGAAGGTGAAGGACCCCCACCCTCAGCATCCCATTCCTGGGGAGAAAGGCAGTCCTGCCCACCAGGGGGACCCCAGGTGTAGTGGGAAATAAAGGTGGAGAGGTAACGAGATGAGCCAGCTTGTGGATGGTCCAGAATATGTGGCCAAGTAGTGTGGGTGGCATTTCCTGAGCAGAAAGCAATGTTTTTCAGCTTTGCACAAGTTTGTTGGAGCTGGATTGCACTGGGATTTGTGGGGCTGGGGTATCACTCTGCAGCTGTGTGTTTGAGAGGCTGTGGTAGAAGAAGAGGGCCATCGGGATCCCACGCTGAGGGTCCTCCCCAGGCTGGGCGGGGGCACCAGGCGCAGAGAGAAGAGAGGGAGTGGACGGACAGGCCTGGGCAGACCCGGATGTGGAGACAAAGGGAAGGGTAAGGGTCAGGAAGGCCTTGGGGTGGGGTTTGGGTGGCTTCCATAGGACTGCCCTATATGCAAAAAAGAAAACAGGGAGAGGGCACCTGGCTGGCTCGGTGGTTGAGCATCTCCCTTAGGCTCAGGTCATGATCCTGGGGTCCTGGGTTCAAATCCTGCATCGGGTTCCCCGAGGGGAGCCTGCTTCTCCCTCTGCCTGTGTGTGTCTCTGCCTCTCTCTCTCTCTGTCTCTCATGAATAAATAAATAAAATCTTAAAAATAAATTTAAAAAAAGAAAATAGAAAAGCACTTGAGAAAATGAGGAGTTGCAAAAATATTTTTTAAAAATTTGTTTAGCCCGTTTTGTTTGGTCCTCCGTCACATGCTTCTGCACCTTCCTTCCTGACAGGCAGTAGTTTGGAACACACCTGTAGGTGCGGAGGCCTTCCGGCAGGAGCTCCATTCAGCAGTCAGGCGTCGCGGCACGAGCAGGCGGTGGGGCCCACGGAAGGGAGACCCCTGGACGGCCAGGACGCCTTCCCCCCTCAGGAGAGCGCGCTGTCCCCTGTGAACCTGACGGACGACCAGATCGCCGCCAGCCTCTATGGTAACTTCCCCCCTCAGCCCTTCTCGGCTTGGGGATCCCGGGACCGGTGCTGCAGTCCATGGCCAAGTGCCTCATAGATGGACCTGGAAGAGCCATTAACCTGAGAAGTGTTAGAAAGGTTGGCTTAGAATAGCTTTTAAAAAGATGGCTACAGAAGGGAGTGGGCCGTCCCCTGAAGTAAACTCCTCAGATTTTGTAAGTTGTGAAATATTTTAAATAGCATTTCACTCCTTCGCCGTCTGGCAGGCGTAATTTTTCCCCAGATTATCTCAGCTGGAGGAAAAGAACAATTATAATCCCTATTTTAGTGCCTTCGTGGTCTTTGAGGCCTCAATGAGATACGACTTCACTTTAAAAACAGTGGAGCCTGATATAAACACTAGTTGTCACTGCTTTTGTTCTGTCTAGAAGTACTAATGGTGGGGGGTTTTTCCCATTTAAAGAACTGCAGATTATTTTCTTTACATGCATACATCTTTCCAGTGGATTCTGGGCACATTTCTCATATGCACGTGCCATGATCTATCTAGATTTACGTGAATGAGAAAAAAAAGTGAATGTGAGGAAAAAAAGATTTCTTGCTCCCTTAACTTGAATGGGTGTGAATTGTGTTCATTTTGCTCCGCTTGATTCCCCTTTTCACAGTATGTACAAATAGTGAAAACACACTCAAGTCTATCATGAAGAAGAAGGATGGCAACCGAGATTCAAATGGAGCGAAGAAGAATCTCCAGTTTGTCGGCATTAATGGAGGGTAAGGAAAGATGGCCCACCAGCGGTCTGTATGTGCTCTGTCTGTCTCCTGGGCCTCCTGTCTTCTCACGTCCCACTCAGAGGGGCCCGGGATGGGCTGCAGCCACATCTTGGTGACGGATGAGCCTCTCAGAAAGGTGCACTGGGCTTCTCCCTTCTCCTCTCCATGCTGTCTCTAAGGATATGCCACTCTTGAAAGGACACCTGGTGACGCTGAGCAGTTGGCATCTTCCCGCCTCTGGTCTGAAAATGGTAGTCTTCAACAAAAGCCGCAGGCAGCAGGTGTCCTGCGGTGTTGGACAGCTTGGTCTTACCCGTGTCAGACTCAGAAACCAACAGAAAGAGGCGAGAGCATCTCTCCACGGGCCGGTGACGGGCATCCACTCCTTCAAAATGGGTTCTTTGGCTTCGCTCTCCATGCCTACGTACAAAATTGTAGGTCCTGTCCCCTGACCCATAATCTGGCTGTGCCGTCAGTGGTTTACCTTCTAACCAGAATGTTTGATTGGCTGTCTGTTCCTTCTCATTGGGCCACATAAATAGTTAAGCCTGTTTGCCCTCCTGCAGTTGAATCAGAGCAGCTAATCTGTTAATCTGGACACGGCCTCGGCCTGGACAGGAAAGCAGTGATGCAGTTAGTTGAGATAACGTTGATAGCAAAGCGTACGATTGAGATTTAACTTCATGGGGCCTAAATCTGAATCTTTGAAGCTTAATTGGGTAGTGTGGCCCAGGAGGTTTACGGGGAGTGGAACAGAAAAAATGAACCACTGCAGACTTGGCTTTCGTGAAGTAAGTTTCCTTTGACCTGCACTAAGCCAGACATGCTATATATATGTATTTCTTTTTTCCTGCAAGTAGTATAATGATACCAATTGGCAACACATGTTACCCCTTTCAGGTCAGAACCCATTCAAAGCCACCAGATTTTTAAATAGACCTTCCTTTGAACTTCTAAATGCAGAGTCTAAAGCCACCGGTCAAATGTCTGGAGTCTGTTAGCGGCTTTCCCTGCGTAAGAATTTCTGTCCCGGGGTCTTTCTGGGCGCACCTTGCATCTCCTGAACTCCCAATTGCCACCTAGGTATGAGACAACTTCAAGTGATGATTCCAGCTCGGATGAAAGCTCTTCCTCCGAGTCAGATGACGAGTGTGATGTCATTGAGTTTCCTCCTGAGGAAGAGGAGGAGGAAGAGGAGGAGGAAGACACCCGGGGAGTGGCAGAAGGGCAGCATGCAGTTAATATGGAAGGTTTCAAGTCCGCCGGGGCGGAAGATGAGATGCAGGTTCCAGAATGTGAACCTGAGAAGGTGGAAATCAGAGAGAGGTGTGGTACCCTTCCCTTCCCTCCCTAACCCTTCCCACTTTTCAATGTCCTTTGGCGAGAGAATTAGCCGATTCGGAGATTTTGCAGCCGTAACTACAGGTTGGGTCTCTCCCATCCCCAAAGGAGGGTACGTACGCAGAGGCACGACCGTCGTGTCGCGATGCTGATAAATACAGGTGCAGAGGGAGGTAACTCTGAGATTTCCCAAAGAGAAGGGCCTAATCAAGCTGTCACCTTTGTTGCCTTTACATTTGTGTGTTAGCTCATTTTAACGTGCAGAGCCACCGCCCACAGAACTGTCCTGTGCCACGATGGTCTCCAGTGTTTGAACAATCCCGCTTAGACTTGAAGGCATGTTAGAATATTGTGTGGCCGGCGCATTTCTTTCAGGTTTCAGATTTTATCATCAGCCATTTGTCTCGATACAGATGTCATTACTATTACTATGGGATCGCTGTGTGTGAGAGGAGTGCATTTTTTGGCCTCAGCCAAAGATCACGTTCACTGCAGACATGGTATAATCAGTCACATGTCTGCATCTTGTGGCTCCTTGAGTGAAAGGGAACACCCCAAGAATGGGTTTGGGAGTCTCCTAAACAAGCAGCTGAGATACCAAATAAACACTCTGGTTGGCTGAAACATGTACCTAGGGGTGTAGCACACTTTAAAGACTGCTAGCAAACGTGGAACCGATGCTTATAAAACAGAGACTAGAACAGATGGAAATTTTAAGATGGTTTTTCGCTGTGTGAAGTATAAATAGAACATTTCAGAAAATTTCTATCTAATCTTGCAAATGAAAGTGTAACTGCATTAACACAAGGTAAGTGTTTCTAGCTCATATTTCCAAGTATTTTCACATGGCTTAGAATCTTGTCATCTAGGGTTTTTTTCTTAAACAGTTTTGTTGAGCTATGATTGATATACCACATGTCATCCGATTCGTAAGTTCATATTTTCATGGGGGGCTAAACACTCTCTAAGCTCAGATGTGTGGTTTGCTGGGTCAGCATAGTTGGATACGTGGTCATTCTGACCTCGTCAACACCTTAAGGGTAAAAATATTTTTAAGAACTTAGAAGAAAAGGTTCCTCCAGGTGTTATCCCATAACATCAAAAAGGCCAAACAGGTAAAGCTGAAAGCTGCCCTTAAGGGAAAGGCCTGATGAGCTCTGGAAGTCCTTGGGATGCCTGTGTGACCTCTAAGCAAGCACCACACACCGTGGGGCCTCTTGCCTTTGAAAGGGTTCTAGGGTTTGAAAAACAAATGCCTTTTCCTTTGATGACCAATCGTGAACACTCTTTCTTTTATCTTGTCCCCTTATAGGTATGAATTAAGTGAAAAGATGTTGTCTGCGTGCCACTTACTGAAAAATAACATAAATGACCCCAAAGCTTTGACCAGCAAAGATATGGTGAGTTGGCCCATCAGACCTTGTCCCCAGTCTGTGCAAAGTGCCAGAGCAGATGGCAATGTAAGGGTGTCTCTCGCCTGCCCCTGAACTCTTGGCACCCCCATGCTTCCAACCCCCCACCCCCTCCACCCCTCCCCCACCAAGATACTTCTAGCTCGTGTAAGTGGAGCAAGTATCATGCTGCCCTCCTCACACTGTGAACATCTCCCTCGGGCCCAACATCAGACATCCCCCCCACCCCAAGCTGTGCTTTGCTCCGGCATGAAGCCTCTGGGAGGGAGGGCTAATCATACTCAGTGGTCAGCTCTCTACGTGTTCTGCTTCCACTCACAGAGCCTTGTGATCCAAGGAGAAGAGTCACCGAATTTTCTTTTTTTTTTTTTTCTATTTTTTTAAGTTAGCATACAGTTTCTTAAAAGCAACCTCTCTGGGCCGAGGTCAGCATTCCTTTCAATTATGCAAGTGCATATTATGTTCTCATGTGGAATGCAGGCGGCCACTATTTTTAAACTTAGGAGTCACCGCACTTGTCCTCTTTGCCCGGTTTGACAGACTCGGAAGCACACGGCAGAGAAGCCCGTGGCTGCTTCGGGAGTACACAGGACACAGGCACAGGACACAGGAGCATTTCTGTGGCAGATGGTGAATCTGACACCATTGCCAAGTATGTCCCTCCCTTGTGTGTTGGTGAAAGTCTTGAGGTGCAGCTTCTCTTACAGGTCAGACCAGCCCTCTGGTTGGCAGTTCTCCTCGGTGCATTCAGAAGACGTAGATGCTCATGTTACATTACATAGAATTGGCATTTGAATCTGTACATTTTATCAACGTGAAGTTTTATGGCATATAACACAAATCAGCAGCTAGTGAGAAAATCGATTTATGAGTCTCACCAGATTATAAAGCCATGAAACAAAAATGTTAGAACTAGGGCCACCTGGGTTGAGCATCTGCCTTTGGCTCAGGTCGTGATCCCACGGTCCTGGGATCGAGTCCTGCATCAGGCTCCCCTCGGAGAGCCTGCTTCTCCTTCTGCCTGTGTCTCTGCCTCTCTCTGTGTGTCTCTCATGAATGAATGAATGAATGAATGATATGAATGAATGAAATAAATAAAATATTTTTTAGGAAATGTTAGAACTAGAAGGGACTTCAGGGATTCCCTCATCCCATAAAGGCACAGTTTTCCTCATGGACAACACACAGTCTACAAGAAAGAACTGGGACAGCTGTCCTGGGTGTGAGAGGTACATGAGCATACCTGCCTGTGAGGCCACGCTGTTCTGGTCTGTTCTGCTTTATTTTTTAAGATTTTTTAAAATTTATTTATTCAGGAGAGACACAGAGAGAGAGGCAAGCAGAGACATAGACAGAGGGAGAAGCAGGGTCCACACAGGGAGCCAATGTGGGACTCGATCCTGGGTCTCCAGGATCACGCCCTGGGCCGAAGGCAGCCGCCCAACTGCTGAGCCACCCAGGCGTCCCTGTTCTGCTTTAACTGAGACCCTAAAGGTTATGGGTTTTGTCAAGAGTTCGTTAACTAGCAACTAGTTAGTACTGGGGCAAGAACATACCTCTCGAATACTTGTCCCTGTTTTATTTATCCTGTGTCATATTACCTTATCATATGACATCCTTCTTTAAAATTATGGTTTCTTCTCATATTTGTTTATATTGCTGTAGAAACTTAAGTTTCTCGGAGCCAGCTGTGTCTTGACATTGAGTCAGTGTGCTGAGAGAGGAACATGGTGGTGATGTTTACAGAAGAAGACACTACATAAAATCCCTAGCCTGGGGCGAGGGCAGACACAGAAGTACATGTTGAACTTCATCAGTATAAAGTAGATTTCTGTCTATGCCTTGGTCACAGGTAGCAAAACCATGAAATGTCACAGCAGTGTTAATATTTCCCACGAGATTTAATGTGAACTTAGAACAGGTTCTTCTAGACCTTAGGTATTATAGCTGCAATATATTTTTTCTTTTACCGTTCTCCAAATACGGGGTTATGTGGTCTTCAGGGAGGAACTTTTCCATTTCTCTGGCCCCAGGTTGCCAAGTATATTAACAGTGAACACTGTGGTCAGTACCTTTTTGGATAAGTTGAACTGTTTTGGTGAAAAAGTGCTTAAGGAATTGTGCCATGGAAAGTGGTAGACAAATGAATGATCACAGTGGCCAGAGCCAATAACCATATTGGCCATATCCTGTGGCCAATAACCACAGGACAGCCACCCACATATAGAGCAGAACAGAATTCAACACCCAGATGACACAAGTTCCCTTCTTCCCATGTAAGGACGGACTCCACAGAAATGGAAATCTGAATATGTGAGCAGAAGAAAAGAAAACGTTAGATGAAATTTTTTCCCTCCCAAGACCCTTTTCACCAAGTGACATAAAATATGATTGAATGGGCTGAAACTGAATCGTTAGTGGCAGGACGATAAAGATGTGGAAGCCAGTACAATTCCAGCTCCAACTTTTCTGTAGAGGGGGGACTTTCTGGGTTCTGGTGCTGTTGACACAGGCTTTCCATCTTTCTTTTAAAAAGCCAAGCACAAATGAACGGTAGACTCGTGTAAAAGAGGGCTCATGGACAGAGCATTATAGCTCTTCCCATCACCAGCCCTGGCCATGCACAACCTGCATTGAACTTCATGTGGCCCCAGGTTTGACTTGATTGCTCATGAAATAAGCCCCATGTTCATGTGTCCACAGCCTAAGCAAGGGCATGCAGGGCTCATGATCAGATACAGAAGACTCCTAAATGGGAGATGTAATTTGTCTTGAACCGTTTTTTTTAATCCCTTTGCATGGTTGAACATTTGTATTTGGGGTTGGAGTGAGAATTGGGCTGGCTACGTACTGCCCGCCTTTCAGCCCAGCGCTGCAGGGATGTGGAAGGAATTGAGGGTGGTCTGCATAGGAAGAAGGCAGCAGAATTAAGTGCGAGTGAAGTCGTTTTTTCTGTCCTGATTATTCTGAAAATCATGTGCAGGGCCAGCATAATTACATAATATTAATGGCTCAGTAATCAGTGGAACCAGGCCTAAGTTTTTTTTTTTCTTTTTTTTTTTAATGTGTATTGCCTCTTTGTCCCCATCCTAAGCCCTGTGGGGAGAAGGTATTTTTATTGCCCCCATTTTGCAGATGAGTAAACTGAGGCAGAGAGTAAGTATCTTCCCCAGGAGAGTACAGCTCACAAAGTAGCAGAGCCGGCATTTGACCATGGCTGGTAGAGCCCCTGAACGGTGCCATATGGCCTCTTCTAGAGAGTTAGATCATGTCTGTGGTTGAAAATTAGGAGGGACGCTCCAGTTTGGAGTCTGAGGCCCTCTCGGGGCCCTGGGTTTCCTTAGCTGTCCTTTGACAGCCAATTCTAACTGCACACACTCTGACTATAAAAGGCCTCGCTTCTCGGGCTTTCGGCTGGGTCCCGGGAAGGTCTATAAATAGAAGGACTAACGGCCGCTTGGCGGTGTCTTTGGCAGCGCTTCTGTCTGAACACCCTGCAGCACGAGTGGTTCCGCGTGTCCAGCCAGAAGTCGGCCAGCCCGGCCATGGTGGGCGACTACATAGCCGCCTTTGAGGCCATTTCCCCGGACGTGCTCCGCTACATCATCAACATGGCCGATGGCAACGGCAACACGGCCCTGCACTACAGCGTGTCCCACTCCAACTTCGAGATCGTGAAGCTGCTCCTGGACGCCGGTGCGTGGGCCGGCCCGGGTCGGGAGTCGCCTCCGAGAGGCTGGTGGCTCCGCTCCCCGGGGCCCTCTCTGTTGCTCTCCCACAGGATGTGGCAAGAAGAGCCTTCCTGAGTCTTTTGGGGGACGGGGGGCAGGCTTGACCTCGCCACAGAGCTGGTGACACAGATTCCAGGCCCGTTTTGGGAGGAGGTTTGGGGGATCGTCTTGCAGCTGTCCAGCTGCAGTCGGGCGAGGTGTATCCCCGGCGATGAGGACTCGGGGCCCCTCCTGAGCTGCATCACGCAGGCTGGGCAGGTGCACGCTCGTGGGACAGATCTCTGCTCACACGACCAGAGTCACGGCTTCAGTGTTGGCGGGCTGCTCTTTCTGTCCTCGCTCCACGACCCCGGCCCACCACTCTGCAGCGGGCAGTGTGCCGTTAGCCCAGATGGGGGCCGTGCAAAGCCGTTGCATGGATTGTAGTAGAATCGTGACCATTGCCACCAAAATATGCCATTACTGGGGACTCAGCACAGAGTGAGGAAAGTGCTCTTCTTGTATCTGAGCCACAGGAATGAGAACAGTGAAACTTCTTGTTTCTTTTCTTTTTTTTTTTTTATTTTATGATAGTCACACACAGAGAGAGAGAGAGAGAGAGAGAGGCAGAGACACAGGCAGAGGGAGAGGGAGAAAGAAGCAGGCTCCATGCACCGGGAGCCTGACGTGGGATTCGATCCCGGGTCTCCAGGATCGGACCCTGGGCCAAAGGCAGGCGCCAAACCGCTGCGCCACCCAGGGATCCCGAAACTTCTTGTTTCTAATTGGAACATCCCATCCCAGAATCCAGCCACTGCGTGTTGTAGACCCGAAGCGAGGGTGTGCCCCATAGAAGGGTCTCCTTGGAAGGTAGTGAGCTCTCAACTTTTTGTTCAAATACAGTAGCCAGCCAGTGATACATACAGTCCCCAAGTCCCTCTGATTTATTTTTGGAAATATGTGTTTTTACTTCTAGTATGTGACTGATAGAGAATTTTTATGCTACCTCGATCTAATTAGTGAGAACACAGTGTGAACATTTGATTTAGCTTATGCAATAAAATTGTCCAATCCCCCCATACCACTTCTTGATCCAACTTTCTCTAATTTCTTCTACTCCATTTCAGGGAAATCAGATTCATGCAGGGAAGTCACCAAGCACATTTATCTCCCCTTCTAAGTTTGCTTCATTCCCAACAGATGGGGCTACATGAGACTAAAATTGCTTCCATCCTAGAGGAATTCCAAGCCTCCTTCCCTTTAGACTTCCCAGACTATAAACAGAGCTGCTGGTACTGTCAGCCCACGTTGTTGTTTAAACAGAGAAGTGGATAATATCCAGAAAAGCCAAAAAACAAGATTTCAGATTGCTCTTGCAAGTAACTGTGTGATCTACCCTTGAAAAATGTGTGTGGACAAGATGTTTTTTGGTAAATTAAATGATTTTAGCTCCACCATGGGATAGCTTTGCTTACTCACCTGGCTGGATATAACCGGACCCTGTACTGTTCCCCATTAGAAGTGAGACTGGGGTTGCATAGAACACAGGTGCCCACAGCATCTGTCAAGGACCAAACATCACAGATAAGGAGGAGCCTCAGAGAGCTCATCTGCCCATATGCTCCTCCATCACACAGCTTTTTCTTTCTCCTATTCTACAATAAAAGGCATGCACTTGTGTGTAAATGCCGTCGTGTCCCTACTATGCTGGGGCTTTTGGGTTTTTTTGTTTTGTTTTGTTTTGTTTTTAGTTCAGGGGAAGTTTTCATGGTACCTTCTTGCCTCCTTGTGATGGAGGCATCCTGAGCAATTCTAACTATATTTGGTCACACAGGAAAGCTTCCTCCCTGCACTCCCCATTCTTTTCCACTTTTTTAGAAAGTGCTAAAGGAATTTAAACAGGATTATTTAGACCCCAACGCCTCCTTAAGAATTACAGAGACAGAAAATGTCTGGTTCAGTGTGTCTGTTGGTCGCTGGCCTCTGTCGTCTGCCCTCAGACCACAGTTCCTAAACAGCTAAGCTCTAGGTGTCATGGGATTGGAATTCAGCTTTCAAGGGCCCCCAGCAAGTCAGAGGAGGGAACTCTGGGTCTCAGAATGAGTAGTGATTTCTGAGTGGGTGATGCCATAGTCTGTTCCCTACACAAGCCTTTACAAATCCTTGCTATTCGTAGCTCTCCCTGCGGCCTTCGTTCCAAAACCACGATGCCCTAAACACAGGAATGTCCACATCCCATTACCATGGGCTCTTCAAAGCAACCATCCTGAGAACAAACCCCTCAGACCCCCTCTGGGCTGTTGCCGTTCAGCCACCAGTTATGAACAAGAGGTGCCGTGAAGGCTTACTCTCACGTCAACTTCTGGCCTCACAGGATACAGGAAAACCTTTTTTTTCCTTTAGTATGAAAACATCTCTCTCAGTTCCTTCTGAGTCACCCTGGGACTTGGAGCCCTTGGAGCCCTTTCAACTGGCCTCTTCCAATGAACCCCATTCCTTTGGTCAGTCGGGAGAAGGGATGCCGCCAGGCGGCTTCTCCCCAACGAGCCTCGTGTCTTTGCAGACGTGTGTAACGTGGATCACCAGAACAAGGCGGGGTACACCCCCATCATGTTGGCAGCCCTTGCTGCCGTGGAAGCACAGAAGGACATGCATGTTGTGGAGGAACTCTTCGGCTGTGGTGACGTGAACGCCAAAGCCAGCCAGGTGAGCGCACCTGCTGCCTGAGTCCACGCGCACACCTGGCCCTGACCGCATCTGAGGGCCCGGGAGCCCCACCGGCTACCCAGTGATGGCTGCATCCTCACTGTCTCCCTGTTGTGTCTGCACACCAGGCACGGAGTGGCCCTGGTCCATATGTGTCCCCAGCTGGACTTTTAAGCACCTCTGAACTTTCCGGCTCCTTGTTATAATGAGACAGATCCTCGAGTGACAGGAGGGAAACTGACTTGTCACTTTATGATCTTGCATAGCTGGGAGCTCAGAATTAGAAACTCTTTCTCGTGCCCACCACCACCCAGCCCCAGGTTAACTCCTGGCCTGCTCTGTTCCATCTATCATCACGCTGTCCCCCTACCACCTCCTGCCCCCATGACCCCAGCCCCCATATAAGCTGCTGATGCACCCCCCTCCAACCCTCCCCACAGGCAGGACAGACGGCCCTCATGCTGGCCGTCAGTCACGGGCGGATCGACATGGTGAAGGGGCTGCTGGCCTGCGGGGCTGACGTCAACATCCAGGACGATGAGGGCTCCACTGCGCTCATGTGCGCCAGCGAGCACGGCCACGTGGAGATCGTCAAGCTGCTGCTGGCTCAGCCGGGCTGCAATGGCCATCTGGAGGACAATGTGAGTGAGCCTCCGCGGCCTCCGCTGGGTCTGCCCCCCAGGGCCCCTTGGTGGAGGGAGAAGAGCCCTTCCTCCAAGATGCTCGCTGGGGATTTCGTGGGGTGGTCCGGGCTGCCTCCCTTCCCAGCCCAGCTTGGCAGCATTTCCTCTGGACAAGCTCGCATTTCCGTTAGCTAGAGCCAAAGGCAGGACGGTCAGGCCTCCCCCACAGTCATTACAGGAAGGGGGTGACGGGTGCGTCCGAGCACCAGCACGTGGAAGGGGAATGCACAGATTTATGGCACAGAGTAGGTTTAGCGTAGGCAACTCACAGGTCCATGAAGAAGAGAGGACTAGGTCCCCAAAGCGTCTGGAAATCTGGGTTGCTGGTTGTTCCAGGCCAAGTTCCTGGATGACTAGAGCCAGTGGTTAGCGCAGTGAAGCACTCTCCCACGCCCGAAATGAAGACAGCCGTGCCCTTCCCTGGGGCCCATTGGAGTGAATGGCCTGAGCATCTCGTCAGCTCAGCCCTGCAGACCATCAGGCTCCTTTGAACACATCTCTCCACTCCTGTCTGGCTTTTCCATCATCATAGCCCCCATCTGGTCTCCCGGTTCCCACGCTGTCCCTGTTCCAGATAACCCCTTGCCTGGAAAACACTGTAAGGGGATCTGCTGCTTCGGGCCAAAGGGGAGGAGTATCTGTAGGTGAAGGCACAGAAACTAGCATTTGGGTGGTGACAGGGTTCAGAGTGCAGAAGTCGCAGAGGTCAGGCTGGGTTGGTTCTTTTGGGAAGTGTATCTCAGTGGAGCACGGGTTTCGCCCAGAGCTTCCTCCAGCTCCAAACATGTAGAAAAGTTAGAAGGAAAATACTCCTTTTTGCACTAAACGTCACATTCCCTTGGGCCCAAACCAGCAGGAAGTGCAAACCAGAGCAGCCATTTACTGGCACCGAGGACAGGGAGGCTGGTGGTAGGCTTGCACGGTGGCCAATGCATCCCCAGCAGTGAGCAAGCTGCGCTGGTTCCAGGCACCTTTCCCGTCATCCTCTGGAACGGAGGAGCACTTCCAGCTCACCTCTCCTCAGGAGGACTTTGTGTTTCACGTCTCTTGATTTTTGTTTGTTGGCTTTTCCCTCTCTCTCAGCAAAGAACAGCCTGTAGATGTAAGTAACAACACGTAACAAGTAGGTAGAGCCACAGTGGCTTCCAGAAATGCTAGTCCCCTCAGCTAATTGTCTGTGTCCTCACCCTTCACGGAAGAGGAGGCCTTGCAGCTGGCCTTCCCAGGACAAGTAGCCCCGAGAATTGCAGGTAGGCGGGAAGGACTGTAAGGACAAGAATTGCTTCCTGCTGCCAGTGACCAGAAGACCAGACAGAAAGTAAATGGTGCTGGCTTTTTGCCTTGCCCTCCTCTACACGCGCCTGAAGGCCTGCATGTTAATGGAAGCCACGCATTTATTTCACCGGAAGCTCTGACTTCCCCCTGTGTAGTGTTTCCCCTCCTATTTCCACGTGATGTGTTTCTGCAAGGCGGCAGGCATCGTGCTTATGCGTAGATATTATTTGCAGTGTTAGATGGGTGTGCTTAGGGCTGGAGGGCCGGTTCCTGCCCCAAGGGCACAGTTGAGAGACCTTTGGCAAACTGCAGGCTGTCCAGACGTACACTGGGGTATTACCTGCTTGCTGTAAAGACAGGAAAAAAAAGAAACTTTGGTTTCTGCCCCCATCTTCTCCTGCTCCCCACAGCTGGTGGGAAGAGCAGGTGGGTAAGGGCCTTGAGGGCCGCCTGCATTTGTTGGGGGTGCACAGGGCTTGCCCCTACACGCTGGCTTCTGTGACACAAACCGCGGATGAAAAATTTTATGGATCTTAGAGAGTATTGGTTGGGCCACCTGTCGGCTATCTGGAAATTTGAAAAACCCACCCTGGCTTGTTCTTTTCCATTTAAGGATGGCAGCACCGCACTCTCCATAGCCCTGGAGGCTGGACACAAGGACATCGCGGTTCTTCTGTACGCCCACGTCAACTTCGCCAAGGCTCCATCTCCGGTCAGTGTTGCGCTTTGGGGCATTAGGGAACGGGCTGGAGCCCGCCGGGTGGGTGGTCCCCCCTCCTTCAGGGAGCTGACAGGAGACATGGGGTTTCTGACAACTCTGAAAGTGGAAGTTTTAGCCTAGAACTTAAGAGTTCACGATTTTTGCCATACCCAGATGGCTGGGAGTGCTAAAGGTTAGCGCAGCACGGGCTGGGCCTCTGCTTATCCCCAGGAGATAGATACTCCAAAGCCCTCGTGTGAAGGGTTTATGAACACAATGAACCCAAATGGCACATCGTGTGCCCATGAGTACATATTGCTCCTTTCCTGGGCTTTCTCCTAAGGCAGACAGTGACCAGCGACCTGTGGTCCAAGAGTCTGCACTTTGCAGGACCTTGACCTCCCAGGACAGTCGGATGTGGCGCCTGCTGAGCCCAGCCGGCTCCAGCGTGGCCACTGCCAGTGGGTCTCTATCCCACCTTCCAGCTGTCCTCGCTCTGGCTCCTGGGTGGCTGTCAGCTGTGGTGGACAGAGTTCCTAGGTCACAGAGGACACTGCCTGAGGTAATGTGCTGACCCCGCATTCTTTTTTTCCCCCCTCTCCTGGTCTCTAGGGCACCCCAAGGCTTGGAAGGAAGACATCTCCTGCTCCCACCCACCGAAGTTCCTTTGACTGATGATACACAAATAACCGTCCATTTACATGCCACCATTAAGCTGCTAAATGTTCCTGTTGGGGTGACAGATACTGAATGTATATGTATCGTGCCTGAGCTCACCAGCAAACAGAATGGGAGGGCTGAGGCCTGGAGCTGCACAGCGGAGGCTGAGGCAGCAGGAGCTTGCCCCCGGCCCCCACCGCCTCCCTCCTGGCCATCTTCCCTCTGCCTTGGGTGTGCTTACTGCCCCCCGCCCCCCGGCTCTGTTGCTGTGGAGTCTCTGCTCCGTTATGTACAGTCGTAGGATGTCGTAACCTGACCTGAGCGGGCACCGTCTCCTCCTTCCCTCCTCCCCTGGCCCCCGCCAGGAAGTGTCCACTTCTCACCGGCTCGGCGTTTTTAAAATTTAAAAATGTTCCACGAGTATTTATATTTACTTGATGTAAATATAAATTTTCCATTGGAAAGTTCTCTGAAAAGTCCATTCCAGGATGGTTTTGTTGACGTGTGTGTGTGTATTTACTCTTCTAAAGTAATTACTTGGCAGTGGAGGTGACCGATCTTCAGCACCTGGGGCCTGGTCTGGGAGATTTCTGGTTTAAAACTCAAAAAGCGGGACTCTCTAAAAAGCAGAAAACTTATGAAAGGAAATCTTTTCAGTGGGGTTGATCTAGGTGGCTGTATTACATGACTTTTTATATGAAAGGTATCTATATGAAATGACAGCAGTATTTTCGACTTTTATATTCCATAGTCACTGAGACATGAAGTACTACGTGTTACGTTACCGTGTTTTTTATTAATCATCGCCCAAATCCGTGTCTGATGGCAAAGGTTGGATGGTGTTAGAGGAACCGGCTCTGTATTTGCCTCTGGGGAAACCTAGTGTAGTTCTCTGCGTATTTATGGATTCCTTTCTACTAAGCCACATTTACTTTGGTCTTACGTGTATTTAAATGTTTGAAGTGCCTTAGACTCTTGCCATATTTTCGAAATAAAATTTCATTAAGCCCTTCCACCTGTGCCTCCTTCATCTCCGACAGCGGCCTGCCTGGCCCCATTGACTTCTGGTGGTGGCAGCACGCAGGCCGGCGGAGGGTGCGGGCGGGGAGCGCTGGCCAGCTGCCCTTGCCCTCGGCCGAGAGGGGACCCCTCCCGAGAGCACCACCCTGTACACACAGCTCTGCCCCTTGCCCAGTTGCCCATCGCACATCAGAAGCGTGAGACCGTATTTGGCAAGCAGCTCATCAGACAGGTAATCTCCGAGGGGAGGCAAGTTAGCTGTTCTCGGGTGCGGAACACTGGCCTCTGCACCTCGTTTTGGGTGCAGCTGCTGGCTTGCAGTCTTTTTTACAAAGTTAAAGGGCGCTGAGTCCATCCCGTTATAAAGAAGTGTAAAAAAATTAATTAATTCAAACAAAAAATGAAGAAGTATGAAGGCTGAAATGTAGATGAGATGTTTGGGCCCGGGCACAGGTGGTGAATTTTAACCCAGGCTGTTTGTGAGAACCAGGTGCCCCGGGGGAAATATCACGGAGGCTTTTCTCACACCTTTCTTTCCTCTCATCTGTTCGTCCACTTCTGAGCTCAGGAAAGAGAACAGAGGACAGATTTTTTTCCAGCAGGTGTGCCCCACGGTGTCTGTCCTGGAAAGCCTGTTTCACGGGCTGGGAGGAATGCGTCCTTTAGAGGAAGAACTCAGAGGAGCTGGGAAAAGTGGCGCTAGGAGTTGAGGCCTACTTGGGACGGTAAGAGATGCCCCCCACCCGGGGCCCATGCTGGGGTGTCTGGGGCAGAAAGGGCGCTGGACCTGGACCATGAAAGTGAGGTTGCAGCTACCTGGGGGCATGAGCACCTTTGTCCATCCCAGGACAGATCCGCTAGCTACAGGATTGGGGCTAAATTTCAATTCACATCGTTACTGAGGCTCCTTCAGACCTGAAATAACATGATAAATTAAAGCAGAAGAGCGTTTGTGTTTAAAGAAAAGTAGGTCTGGGTTTCCTGCCCCTTAAATGGCATGACGTCCCTTTTGAGTAGGCAGGGCTGTATCTCAGGTGGTTTGAGGTCTTGAGGGTGTTGTTCTGTGTGAGAAAGGAAGTCGTTCATGTTGTCCGTGCACGAGAAAATGAATCCTACATCCCTGTGCTGCATTTCAGATGCCATAGACTAAATTTTGCAGTAACAGAGTGAGCGATTGTTTTATCGTGGAGTGAGGTCTCTTTCAATCCATATCTAGCTTCTGGATATGCCAGCTTATGCCTTGTCTACTCTGCCTTGTCTACTCTGGGCACTTAGAAGGCTTTTTATCTTGGGATCTTGGCACATTATATAAACCTAGGTTGAATCGCCCCCATTGGTTTCGCTGCAGTTTCTGGAGGTGCGTGTCCATAAAGGGATTTGAGGCAGGCCACTTGGCCAAGGCTCCCCAAGTGCGGCCAGCGTAGGCCTGGAGACTCTTGAGGTGGATTTCTGGTTGACGCAAGGAGAAGCCAAAGCCTTTAAGTGGCAGCCTCTTTTTTCAGGCAGCCTCGCCCTGCAGATTTAGAAGCTGAAGGCCGGCATCCTCCCCCAGACAAAAGGAATAAAGCAGTGGGAACTTTGAGATTTTTAACATTAAGAAAGTGAAACACAACTCGTCCTGCCTCTGTTGTGACTTAAAGAATGTAAACCCTGTGCAGGGGTTGGCAGGGCTGGGGGGTGCGTTGCTGCTGGAGTGAGTTACCAGGAGCGTGCTGTCTAGATGGGTCCCCCAGATAAACCAAGTGTTGGACTCTTGCCGGTAAATAGCCTGCAGTCTAAGGGGGACAGTCTCACCCCCGACTTTGTGGCATTAAATACCGCAGACAGGTGCTAACGCTCACAGATAGGATCCCATCCTAATGGGTTCTTGGCTGCAGGGAGCCTGCTGCAAGCAGCGTGCATTTGATTTTCATGATGCTTTTGTAAGAACTTTTGCCTTCACTGCATGCATAAGAACCGATTATAAGAGCTATGGGGGGCCAATTGTGGGCCCCACCCCAAGGAACAGCATCCCAGGTGTTTCTCAGGGTGGCCTTGGGTGCACACTGAGAATGGTTTTACTCTTGAGTTAGGAGGCACTACCATGGTTCTCTTCCAGCCAAGTTAGACGGGATGGAGAGAGCTAGAACAAAACCAGAAACATGATGCCTCATCTTTGATCTTTGCTGTATAAGGAGCCAGCATTGCCCCTGCCTGGTGTTTCTCTGTGTTTGGTGGCACCTCTGCAATGCTGGAGCAGTCCTTTCTAGAAGGCCAGGAGCCGCGGCTGCCGCGGTGGAGGAGGGGTGGCCCAGGACGTGAGGGGCTGCGACTGAGCAGCCAGACGGCTCGGCGGTCTTTCTTACATGCATCTTTGCTTTCCCCTCTTCCTGGAGGAGCAGGACCATTTCTGCGCAGGAAGAAGGCCGTGACCCGTTGTGTTGGCTTTGGAATAGAGTGTTCTGTTTTCTTTTCTACTGGGAGAAAATTCTTTTTAGGCCCTGGGCCTTAGCCAGACTATCCTCTGCCATAAGGAAATTACTAATCATATGTTTACTCTGTTGTTACTCAGCGTGGCTGTAATTTAGAAGCCAGCCGATTATAGAAATATATTTACAGTCCATTTTGCTGGAGATTATTACCACAAAAGGATGTGGCTGAGCCGTTGGCCACGGTGTTCTAGGACTGCACACACTCACACTCCCTCCCCGCCAAACTCACTGGCGCTTTCCCAGGGAGTGGAATCGGGAAGTCGGGAAGTCGCAGTGTGCTTTGCAAGCCTGAAGGGTGGAATCCAACACTTGCCGTGGGGTCCCCGAGGTTCCTGGCCTGAATCCCTGCAAGGATTTTTGCAGAGAAGCTAGAAAGCAAAATACCACGTTCTATGGGTGCGTGCTGGTACGGATATGTCCGATTTTGAGGACATTTGGCGGAGGAGCTGGCATTTTAGAAAACCAGCTGCCCCCACTGCCTTTTTGTTAAGATCTTTGATGATTTAATAGGCACGGGAATGGGTGGGAACTACATCCCTCGTTTTCGGGTAATGGAAGTTACATAAGAAATACTCTGAAGACCAAATGCCAGTCTTGTATTGCAGCCAAAAACAAGTTTTATACATGTTCACCACCCCCAACCCAGAAAGATCCAGTTTGCCCAGCCCTAGAACTACCTGAAAGGGTGAGGCTGTATGGGATGAGGAGGAGCCCTGAGCGCAGATGGGCAGGGTTGTCAGACAGCTCAACACCAAGTGCCAGCTGGGTGGGCCATTGATTTCTCGTGTGTCAGGCAGCAGAGAAATTCTGGCTGTGATCCATCCGCTCCACTATGAAAGGATGTGCTTAAACAGGTAGTAGAGACAATAGTCACTAATTAGACTGGGTCCCTCAATCCTATTTAAGAGATGTCACCACCACCACCCCCAGAACACCCAGTCTTCCAGAAGGAAGCTCCCCAAGTTCAGCTTTCGTGCTTGGGTCTAGAACACCACCTGCCAGGACAGAGAAGTTCTAGTGCCTGGCTGACCAGTACTAGTTGAACAAATGAGTGTAAAAGTGATTGGGGGGCAGCACTGAGAGTCAGGAGACTATTAGTACTGGGGGGGGACACTAGTGGGGGGAACCTGCGAGGAGCTGGTGAGCCCCTAGAATGGTTTGCTTTGTACCCTTGAGGTAGCTATACTCTTTACATTGCCTTTGTGGTCATTCAACAGACTGTATCCTCAAAATTTGTGCACTTTTCTGCGTGTATATGAACTTCATTTTCTTTTTAATTTAAAAAAATTTTAGGGGCCCCTGAGTGGCTCAGTGGGTTAAGCATCTGATTCTTGATTTCTGCTCAAGTAGCAATCTCAGGGTCATGAGATTGAGCCCCAGGTCCAGCTCTGCACTGGACATGGGACCTGCTTAAGATTTTCTTTTCCTCTCTCTGCCCCTCCCCCCGCTTACACACACAAAAAAAATAATTTGAAAAAGTTTTAGATTTTATCTATTTGAGGGAGAGAACAAGAGCAAGGGAGGGGCAGAGGGAGAAACAGACCCCTTTCTGAGCAGAGAGCCCGATGGGGGGCTCAATCCCAGAACCCTGGGATCATATGACCCAAGTCAAAGGCAGATGTCTAACCAACTGAGCCACCCAGGTGCCCCTAAATTTGAAAATATTTGATCAAAAAAGCTCTTAGGTGGAGAGGTTATAGATTTTGTAGATTTGAAGCTGAACAGGAACAGAAGTGCCTGGCTGGCTCAGTTGGTAGAGCACGTAACTCTCAATCTTCTCAATCTCTGGGTCATGAGTTTGATCCCCACATTGGGCATAGAGTTTAAACGAAAAAAAAAAGTGAGCAGGAATAAAATGAGAGTGAACATAAAATTAGAAACAACTTGGTCCCACCGTTTCTTTAATGTTAATACCCAGCTGTGTACCCAAGGGGTGCTGTGACCCACTCATAACCTTGGATAGTAATCATTTGGTCTGTTTCCAGATATCCCGGAGCTTTTTCTGGGTACTACCTGCCTACTTTTGAAGTTAGGCTTCGGCATGTGATTGCGTTGGCAGCAGATCATTAGTGAGAGTGATGTGTCCATTGTAGGCAGGAGCTTGAAAAGTCAGCGTGCCATCGTGTCCCCTTCTCCAGCCATGGTGTTCATGGAAGCGAGTGTTGAGATGGACTCAGCTCCCCCTTCCTCCCCCGGTCCCCTGGCGACTTCGCAGAGTAGAGCGTGCCCCCCGCCAGCAGGGGGTGTCACCAGTGTGGTGTAGGCTTTCTTCACTGATAAAGAAATTGGTTTTGACGGGCACTGAGGTGGGCACTTGACGGGATGAGCACTGAGTGTTATTCTATATGTTGGCAAATTGAACACCAATAAAAAATAAATGTATAATAAATAAGTAATAATAAATAAATAAATCTTAATTTAAAAAAAAAAAGAAATTGGTTTTGGGAAGTGGGTGCTGCTGTACCCAAATGGCTTGGCAGATACTTTATGGGCAGCAGGGACTCCGGCTTTGTGTGCTCAGTCA